TTTTTCTTAGCTGAAAAGGATGCGCAATTCAATATTTTTTTCTGTATGAGTAATACATAAACTTTTTTCTACACTTGTGTGAATTCTCGCACACTGATTGGCTGCTTAGTGTGTGTCAATAAATGCTGACCACTTCACGCCCCAAATGTGCGCTCAGTTGAAAGAAAAGAATGATTCACACAATTTTTTAGACTAACGATGCTCAGAGTTTTTGTATGTAATCTTTTGACATTATTTAGTTATAAAATGTTCAAAACTTTTCAGTTAGCCCACTTGCTCTGCTCGGGTCAGGTTTCATATCAAACAATTGCCTAACATTCACTTGGGCTACCTGTGTCTTTTGTGAGATTCCTTATTTTCAAGGATAGGAGGGGACTAGGACAAAATTATAATGGCCGACATGTTGAAAAGCGATTTCTCTGCAAATTCTGTAAGTTTTAGCCATTTTAAAGCACTAAAAGGTGGAAAAAAACTTGAAAAAAACTTTCTATCATACTTCCTTATAAGGTAAGATTACCATATATAGTCAGCAAAAGTTTGGCAAATGAATGAATGTTTCTCTGAGGCAATTGTTTGATATGGTTTTTTACTACATTTTATGATGTCATAAAAGGACATACTGTACAAAAGTGTGCACATACCTATCACACATCGTGGGCAGATGTATTCAATCCCATTTTTCTCCATTTCTTTGCCGATTTCTTTGGTGATGGACACACAGTCACCATGTAACCATTCTTCACAGGAATCACAGCAAATCATAAACCTAAACAAAAGACAAAACAATATTTCATAAAGATGTAGGCACTTGGACAAAACACAACAACTAACAGCTCATAGGCAGACAAGGATGGTAGTCAAAGTCTAGTTCAGGGAGTCAAAACACCTCTCATTTTTAAAAATTTAAACAGGACATAATATACTGGATCAGGCATTGCTGTGGACCAAGATGACCAATCCCTTTCAGCATAAATTGAGGGTCCTGAAAACTTATGGGATTCCTGTGGTAAGTCCAATTTCCAATATAGCAGTACCAGTATTACCGTGGGAAAAACATCATCATTCATGATTAAATCAATGATAAGAATTCCACACGTTATAATCTATATTTATATTATGATGTACCTATTTCCATGTGGTTTTCGGCAGATGCACCAGAGTCTCTCAGGATCGTACTCTGGGTCGTAATCAGAATCCTCTTCCTCCATTGCTTCATCATCTGAATCCTTGTCGTCTTCAGATGAAGAAGACTCATGCTTCTCTTCATTCTCCTTGCTTGCTTCATTGTCTGTTGAAAGTCGTTTATGTTTCACTGTTGAGTACACC